CTCACTGCCTTCTGGTTCACATGGTTCTTGATTTGAAATAAGCTGTTCATCTTATCGAGGATCTCTTGTTTGTGTTGAGGACTGCTCACTTCTGCCTGCTCACATCTGTTGTTGCACATCTCTAATTTTAGTTACTGTACTTTTCAAGTACTGAATTTCTGTTTGATTATTTTTTAGAATATCTGTATCTTTATTGATACTCTTTATTTGGTGAGACATTGTCTTATTGCTTTTCTTTGGCTCTTTAGATAGGATTTCTTTTAATTTTTAGAATGAAAAAAATAGGTGTGTGGTTTTATGTGTATTCTTTGTATAGGAAGTCCAGCATCTGGACTTCTTCAGGTAGAGTTTCTTCTTCTTTTTTTTTTTTTTTCCCCTGTGTGTGAGCTGTACTTTTTTGTTTCCTTGCATGTTGTGTAATATTTTGTTGAAAACTGGAAATTATGAGTAATATAATGTAGTAAGTCTGATGATAATGAGATTCTTTCCCCTCCCAGGGCCTTGTGGTGGTTGTTTTGCTGCTGCTGTTTGTGTGTGTGTGTGTGTGTGTGTGTGCGCGTGTGTCTGTCCAGCCAATTCTGTAAAGTCTATATTCTTGGTCATGTGTGTCCTCTGAAGTCAGTCTTAGTTTGGTTATCTTAGTTGTCAGGCAATAATGGACAGAGATTTCCTTATATGCCTCGTAACAGTATGTCTTGTAGACTTTTCTATGATGCTTTATGTGTTTCTTTTGAGCACACCTTCAACATTCAGCTGGTTATTTTACAACTCTACCATAGTCTTTACTTTCTGCTTTCATGGAGTCTCAAGGTTTGTCAGAAGTGAGAGCTTAAGACCTTCCTTGATTTTGCTTAGTATACACAGCTCTGGGCACATGAACAGCCCTACATATTTGTCTGGCATTATAGATTCTCAGGAATGTACTGGAGCTTTTCAAAGATTCTATGGAAGTCTCATCCCCCCAGCTTTTCCTTTTAAGCTTTTTTTTTTTTTAATTTTGAAAAGAGAATTGTGTCAATTCTTTTTCTAAATGCATTTTATTGAAATATAATTAATGTACAGTGAAATAAACAAAACTAAAGTGACATAGGTAATTTTTTTTTTTTTTTTTTTTGCAGGTTACCCTTCTGCCCCTGGTAACCAACAAAGAAAGTTTCCTTCCATATATAAACCTTTCCTTGACTTTTTACAATAATGAATACTGTATTTGTCCTTCTGTGATTGACTCATTTCACTCATCATAATGTCCTCTGAGTTCGTCCATGTTATGTGGTGTTTTGCAGATTCTATATTATTCCTTAGTGTGGCATAGTATTCCATTGTGTATATGTACCATAGTTTAGTTATCCATTCTTCTGTTGATGGGCATGTACATTGTTTCCATCTTTTGGCTGTTGTAAATAGTGCTCCCATGAACATGGGTGTACATATATTTGTTCTTGTCCTGGTTCTCACTTCTTTAGGATATATACCTATTGATGGGATTGCTGGGTTAAATTTTATTTCTAATAGCAGCTTTTTAAGGAATCGCCATACTGTTTCCCACAGTGGTTGTATCATTTGACAATCCCACCAGCAGTGTATGAGAGTCCCAGTCTCTCCACATCCTTATCAGCATTTGTAATTTTCCGTCTTGCTGAACTTTGCCATCAGTGCTGGGGTGAGATGGTATCTCATTGTTGTTTTGATTTGCATCTCTGATGGTTAATGATAGTTAGCATTTCTTCATGCATTTGCTGGCCGCCTGAATATCCTCTTTGTTCAAGTGTCTATTCATGTCTTCTACCCATTTTTTAATTGGGTTGTTAATCTTTTTGTTGTTGAGGTGTTGGAGTTTTCTATGAATTCTAGAGAGAAATCCCTTATCAGATATGTAATTATTGAGCAGTATGAATTTGTTGCTGTCATTTTGTTATGTGCTTTTTTATTGTGTTGATTTCTTTGTTCCATATAATTTTCTGTGCTGAGCTTGTTTTGTTTATGAATCGTGTTACCACTTTCTTTGTTGCTATGTTTTAGTATTTGCTGAATATTTGTGCTAGTCTTCTTTTTTATTTTGATGTGAAGGTTTATCATTTTTCTTTGAGGTTACCTTGTGATTTATAATTTTCTTACCAAGTATAGAACAGTTATATCTTCTGGTTGTTTTGACTTCCCTACCATTTAGAAGTTCTGTAACTACAGTTTTTTCCCTCTTTTTGGTTTGTAGTTGTCCTCATTTGTCAATTAATGTCTCTGGTTCCCTGTTTACAGTCTTGTAGGCTTATTTATTTGCTTTGGATTCTTCCATAGCTGGGTTGGTTTCTGAGTTATGTCATCATGTGTGTTAATGGTCAGTTGTTGGCTGTTGGTTCTCTGTCCAAAGGACTCCCTTTAGCATGTCATGTAAGTTGGCCTGGTTTTAAACAAATTCCCTTAATTTCTGCTTATGTGGAAATGTCCTAATTTCACCATCATATTTGAGGGACAATTTTGCTGGGTATATAATTCTTGGTTGGAAATTTTTCTCTTTCAGGCTTTTATTTATGCCATCTCATTGTCTTCTCACCTGCATGGTTTCTGCTGAGAAATCTTATTGGTTGCCACTTGTTGGTAACTTTTCGTTTTTCCCATGCTGCTTTCAGGATTCTTCTTTGTCTTTGGTTTTGGTGACTTTGATGATGATATGTCTTTGTGATTTTCTTTTGGGGTCTATCCTATTTGGGGTTCATTGGACTTCTTGAATGGATATATTGTCATCTTTCATCATACTAGGAAAATTCTCTTCCAGTGTATCTTTGAAAATTTTTTCTTTGGTTTTATTTGTCTCTTCTTTCTCTGGAGTTCCAGTTACATGTTGGTTATTCCTTTTGATGGTATCCCACATGAACCTTATGCTTTCTTCATTTTCTTTTGCCCTTTTTTTCTGATTGATAGCTTTCTAAAGAAGTATTGAGGTATTAGCCTTCAGTCTCACCAATTTTGTCATCCATTGATTCAGTTCTGCTCTTTTACCCTTTCAATGTGTTATCTATTTCTGAAAATTTAGTATTAATCTTCTGGATTTCTATGTGTAGATTTTGTATCATTTCTTATTTTTCATTTATTTTGTCATTTTGTTCTTGTATTATCTCTCAAAATCATTGTAGGGTTTTCCTCAATTTTGTCAGTGTTTTCCTTGATCTGTCTATCGATCTGTTGAAGTTACCTAAATATAATTCTTATGAATTCCTTATTAAGGAGTCTCAGTGCTGTTGCTTCTTCTGGGATGTGTTTTGGGTCTGCATCCTGGTCCCTTGTTTCTCCTGGTTTATCTTGTTTCTTTGTGTGGACTGTGATGCTCTGTTGTCTATGAGGCATTGTGATATTTTTGTGTTTATATTTAATTTGTGATTGTATGTTGGAGTGACTTGCCTACGAGTTTTGTTATCTTTGGATGTTGTCTGTGTAAGCAGAGTATTGTGCTCCTCTATTTGCTAATTGGCAGCACTTATACCTTCACCACTTGTCTCCTTTCTCATTGTCAACCTCCAGTATGTCCCTGCCACCTTTGGCAAGTGGAGCCCATTCTTAGGTCCCTGGAGTCTGAATGAGAATGCTGTCACTTTAAAATCCAAAATGGCCACCGCTTACAAACATTCAAAATGGCTGCACCCTCGGTCACTTTAAATATCCAAAATGTCTGTCACTAGAAAACAATCAAAATGGCTGCGCCCTCAGGACAGCCAAAAGTCCACAGCTCAGGTTATATCCCTCTTTGCTGTTTCCCTTCCTCCCTGCAGCCCTTGGGGACCAGGCTTTAGGTCATTTTGATCTTTAGGTCAATTCTTAGGTCCCAGCACCACTTGGAAATATTCAAGCTGTTGGTTCCGTCAGAGTAGCTGACAGTCCATTGCTCTGACCATCTCTGTACTCACTGTTTTTGTTCAGGTTTTTTCCACGAGTTGGTGCCTGATCCACTTCTGTATACTTCCTTTCAAAGCTCAGGGGTCCAGGATTATCTTCTGTATCTCTGTGAATTAGTTTTTCTTTTCTGTGTTGAAGATGGTCTGTGTAGCTTGTCTGTCTAGTCCACCATCTTACCAGAAGTCCTCCTTTTACGATTTTTGGTTATTTTCATGTTTGTCCCAACTCTTATTCACTGCTTCAGATAGCTATGATGTTCAACAATTGGCTATAATTGTTTTTAACAAATCCCCTTTGGAAATAGATGTTTTTTACACTGAGGGAGCTCTGAGTCATGTCAAATGGAATGGAGTTCTTCCAAGGACAATTCAGTAATTGCAGTTTTCTGGGACTGAAGCTTTGAATGAGCTTCAAGCCCATTTTACCCCTTCTGATGCCTGCCTGGTTTTCATTGTAATTGAGGGCTGCTGGTTTTCAAGGCTCCTATGGATCTGGAAAATAGGGAATCGATACCCAAAATACTCTCTCAAACTCTCACTCCTGTGAGTTGATTCCAACTCATAGCAACCCTCATTGGATTTCTGAGGCAGCAAATCTTTATGGAAGTAGATTGCCCCATCTTTCTTCTGCAGAACATCTGGTGGGTTTGAACCGCCAGCCTTTTGGTTAGCAGTCAAATGCCTTAGGTACTATGCTTCAGAGCTTCTTAGGGAAATCACATATGGCAAGTTACAACGCCACAAAATCTTGCTGTTTATAATGGGATTCAGCTGTTTTTCTTGAGTACACACTCTCTGCATTGCTGGAAGTTTTTGGTTAATTTCCAGAGTTTTCAAAAAGTTGATTCTAACAAAATTGCCAGCTCTTTCATTGCTGGCATGGAAGAGAGAATTTTCACATTTCTTAATGTTGCCATTTTTGCTTCTGTCGCCCCTCCTTTTTTTATTTAACATCTAAAACTTTGTTCTATTTTGTGGGAATAGTTAAGTATTGAATTTATCATATTTGTATTAAAGATTAGAAAAAGAAATATTTTATTTCTTAATGTTTTTATTTTAAAAGGTAATAACAGATCACATTCATTATAATGTCATATTTCTTAATGTTTCCAACAGGAATTATCATGTGTTCTATTACCTCCTGGCAGGAGCAAGTGAAGAAGAGAGATTAGCATTCCATCTTAAGCAACCTGATGAATATCATTATCTCAATCAGGTGAGAGTTCATGAAAAGCATTTTGAAATTGGAGCTTTGTTAAATTTTAGCTCTTGAATATAAACTTTTTATATTCAGGTACTCTATTTAAATATTATTATCCTCATTTAAATTTTAAAAGGTGAGTAGTATTTTATTAGCTTTTTGTTCTTTGTGAGATCCTTTAAGAAAGTAATAAGGTGTTTATAGATACTGTCATATTAAAAAAATAGCTTAGTTGTTGCAAAATTTTTTACTATTTCCAGACCCCAGGGGGCTGAATGTTACCGATGATTAATTTTGCAAGGGTTTACCTGGATTTTGCATTGTTTTTAAGTCTCATACTCATATATCTTTACATATTATGGTTGATATTGACTTAGAGTGTGACTTTTTAAATTTAATGAATTTAAGTTCAGAATGAAGTTCATAAAAGGCTAGTCACTTAGAGAATTTGGGTCTTTTCTTGAAACCCAAAGTTAATTCCTAATTTCTTTTTTCTTTTTTTAATAACTTGTACAATGGGATAAGGAGTAATTCTTCCAATTTTTCATTACATTGATTTCTCTAATTTTAGTAGTATTTCTCATATCAAGTTTTAAATTCAATATTAATAGCATTGATACAACAGGAAGCCATTTAAATAGTAGGTTGTTTACCCTTATTTTTTGATTATTTGAGGCAAGATATAATGATTATGGGAAGAAATTCCTTTTATGATAATTACAAAAATTCGTAGGAATGTTTTATAAACAAATTGACATTGTGATGATGGCTTAAAATTTTTAATACGTATGTAGGGTTGTAAAAGTAACATTTTGGACTTTTCTCAAGATAGTCAGTATGCTGTTTAATTGACATTTCTTAATTTTGAAACTTTTTGTATTAAGTTAAACTAACATATCTTTCTTTGTATTAATATGTAGTAGTAGTTGTTGTTATGTGCCGTCAAGTGCAGAGAATTTCAAGATAAAAAGTCAGTTTCTGATATGATACTATATACTTGATTTTATACACCATTCTGGTGGCCCATAAACAAGGTGATTGTCATTAGTATTAGGGAAAATCAGGATTTCTTGCAGTTTTCTAGATCTTTTCTTAATAAGTGGACTTACCATACGTATTCTTGCTACAATACCAGTATTTATAGGGTATGGGACTCAGCAATAAGTAGCAGAGTTACTAAACAATAGCATATATGGTTGAGGGCAATAGTAAATGTTCTCCCAGAATCTGAATATTTATACTTCTTTCTTGTTTTATGTTGCTATGCATAATAACTTTCTTTGAATAACAATAGGCGACCTACATACTACATCTGAAAGATGATTAGAGAAGCGTGATAACCATTACTTCTACTTAACTAATCTGCCTTACTTTCAGATAACAAAGAAACCCCTCAGACAGAGCTGGGATGATTATTGCTATGACTCTGAGCCGGTCAGTACAAGTACCTAAATATTCTGTGTTCCTGTTAGAGTCCTCACCTTGCACATTTGATTACATCCATCTCATTACTTAGGCAAATAGAAAATTAGCTTAAATACAAAGTAGAATTGAGGGAAGATAAATCAGTTGATTGTCTTTTATTTTCTTTGAATGGATTGATTTGTTTTTTGTATCAGTTGTTAATTAAAAACAAGTCTATTTACTTTTTGGGAACTCTCCCAAAAAGGCTAGTGCCTAAGGCATTTGACTGCTGACAGAAGGCTGGCGGTTCAAACCCAACAGCCATTCTTCGGAAGGAAAATTGGGCAATCTATTTCCGTAGAGTTACTGTCTCAGAAACCCAAAGAGGGGTTGGTATGAATTGGGACCAACTTGACGGCAGTGAGTTTAGTTTTTAGAAATGTTTTTTGTTGCTAATTTTAGTCCATATTTAATATTTATTTTGACAAACAAAAATTTATTTCTGCCTTAGCATTTCCGCATCTTTAGCTTTAATGTGGGTCTTTATGAACTAGAATTGTTTTTTTGTTTTTGTTTTTGGTGAGTTTTTAAAGATATTTTTTAGTCATTTCATTACCCACATGAGAAGTAATTGGTGTTTATTAAAAAATTTACATTCTTCAAATAAGTCTTCACATAATGAATGCATATGCATATATATATATGTATATATGTATGTATGTATGTATGTAAATTTTTTTGAATTGCAAGAGAGGCATATCTTTTATGTGTTTTTCCAAAGTTTAAGTTTTCTGAGTTCTAGAAATAAGATTATTTTATGCTTTTGAGTGATTTAAGAGCATATATGATACAAATACATAAGGAGTAGGAAAATTCCGCTTCATTAGTTAACGTTTTTATAAGAACAACTTTGTAACCCAAAAAGTCCAGGAAATATTTTTTCTTTTAGTTTGGAATTAGGTCAGATGTGAAAGGCTTAAAACATGCATACGTTTTTATTTAGAACTGTCTGTTAATTAACAATGAACTAATTACATATTCCTTCAGGAAGACATAACATGTCTGAGTCCTAATTTGAAAGAATCATGATTTTAATTCTTATTGCATGTGAATACAGACCCCACTACTTGCAAAACTAGCCTCTTTCAGAATTGACAGGTGATACAAAAGAGTCAGTATATATGGTTTTAATTTGGTTTTTTATTCCAGGGAAAGTTTCATTATATTCCATTTCATAATAAATCATGTAGCGTATGGTTTTAGATTTAATATTATGGAAAGTAAATATTAGACATTTAAATTTATAGATTTTGATAAGTTTTAGTAGAACAACTTTAAGTTGTTTGACTTCTGTTGAGGAGCATTCACTTTTCATCTTTCACCTATTGTATACCAAGTGACTGTGCCTTATTGGGACATAGGTAAGGGAGTGGGAAACTTGAAATAGAAAATTTGATTGCTTGCATAGAGCTTATATTGAATAGGTGAACTCATCTATTATTATTCAGAGACACTCTAAGTAACTTCTGAATTTGGATTCTGGAGTAGGCAGGCCTGATTTGAACCCTGACATGTACACGTACTAGTTTTAACACCCTTATCAGGTCACTCACTTCTTTTCTTCCCATCATTTATTTAAGAGATGGATAATAGTCTTTAAGTCTTGTGAGTTTTAAATAATGCATATAAAGAGTTTGGTAGAGTGCTTAACACTTAATATGCACACAGTAAATGTTCTTACCCCCATTGGTGCCACCACGGAAATCATCATTGTCCATCTTTTTCCTTTAGAAGAACGTTGTAGTAATAATCTTCTATTAAAGTTACTTTCATCACCATCTTCCTGCTTGTTGTGCCTCAAATAAGTTTTCAAATCTCCTATAGGTTCAACTCTGATTAATTTCTCCTTCTTTTTCACACGTTAATTAATAAAAGCAAATAAATCAGTCTGAGGAAGTTTGGATTTGATGTTTATACTCTTAGCTCTTTCTTACAGTGTATTTAGGAGCTCTATTGGCACAGTAGTATTCAGCTGCTAGCTAACCAGAAAGGTCAGATGTTTGAACCTATTAGCTGCTCCGTGGGAGAAAATGAGGCAATCTACTTCTGTTAAGATTTACAGGCTTGAAAACCTTATGAGGGCAGGTCTACTCAGTCCTCTAGGATTGCCGTGAGTTAGAATCAACTTGATGGCAGTGAGCGGTTATTGGTATAGTGTATTTGGGGAAGAGCTGTGATAGCGTACTGCCTAAGGCACTTGACTGCTAACCAGAAGGTTGGTGGTTCAAACCCACCAGCCACTCCTTGGAAGGAAGGTTGGGTAATCTACTTCCATAGTGATACTGCCTCGGAAACCCAAGGAGGGATCGCTATGAGTTGGGTCTGACTCGACGGCCCATAACAACAACAACAACAACATTTGGGGACAGCTAAAAGTTTTTTTCCTACAAGGAGTTAACATTTCTGTGACCAGCATTATAGGAACTGAGGATTGTTAAAGGACTGTTTTCTCATTTATGCTACTGTTACTTACCATATATGTTATGGGATTGTATAAATGATCCCAGGGGGACTATAGTGAGAAAATTGTTTTTTTCACTATTGTGAGGGACCTACTATTGCCCCACTGTATGATAATTCCTTTTAAGAGTTATTAAATGAGTTTGAAGTAGTGGTTTTGCATGCAAGAGAGCAGAGGAACTGAATACATTTTGCCTTGTCCAGCCCTGTGATTTGGAACATTTTTGACCTTAGTGGGTTATTTAACCTCCATGATCTTTTTTCCCACCTGTGAATTGTATATATAATTACTTCTTTGTGTTGTGAGGACTTAGTGAGATTCTACATGTTAAGTGACTCTCACAGTGACTAATATATAGAGGATATTTATTAAATGGGAATAATCTATTCAAATATAAATTATTATTTTCATTGTTATTAATGACATCTCTTAGCCTTTGTTGCTTTGATTTTAAAATACAGAAGATGAATTAAGTACTGGTAATATGTTGGTTATATGATATGTTGGTTATATGATAATGTGTCAGAAACCCAAGGAGGGGTTGCTATGAGTCGGGTCTGACTTGACGGCACATAACAACAACAACAATATGTTGGTTGGTGTTTGCTATAGTTCTGGATAATAGCTGATTCTTAGTAACTGCAATCTAAAGTGTCAATCTCACCCAATTTTATTTATTTTAACCAAACCTTAAATAAATTTTAGGACCTGACTATCAAGTGGGGTTTTAATGAGTCTTGCCATATAGTTCAGGACACTGCCTTGCCCACTCTGCTACAGCGGGATTTGGCCTACACTATCCCATGGAGACAAAACTCCTACCCTGATTTCCTGTGCCTTTATGAAACTAAAAATCCAAACTCACTGCTGTCAAGTGGGATCCAACTCATAGCGACCCCTCTTTGGTTTTCCGAGGCGGTATCATGGTGGAAGTAGATTGCCCAGTTTTCCTTCTGAGGGGTGGCTGGTGGGTTTGAACCATAAAGTCTTCTGGTTAGCATTCAAATGCTTTAGGCATATATTTGTAAAACATTGGCTGCGTATTTTCCCATGAGCTCAACTTTTCACTGTGTTGTCCAGGATCCTGATGCAATTTTGGTAGGATCACTTGAAACCATGAGGCTTCCATTCACCCTATTACGCATATTTCTGTAGTATAAAGATTCCTACTACCATGACCTGTCAGTTTGTAAGTTTGTGGTCACTCCCTCAAACATTGCCCTTCTGGGTTTGTTCATCACCTCTTACCAGTCCACGCTAAGGTTTCTGCATACTATACAACTTACTCTGCATAAGTTTTCCGTATAAAAAAATAAGTTGTGACATCCATATTAGATTGTACCCTTATAAAATTTCTGGGATGTAGTTAGTATGATACATTCCTTGGAGAGAACAATCATGGGAGAAAGAAGGGCTGCTCACGCACAGGGAGACAGCGCAGGGGGCAGGAGTGCATGGAGAGATGGACACAGGGAAGAGGTAACTATCAGGAGGAAGTGGGAGGGGAGCTGTTGCATTGTGGTAAATTGTAGTCAATGTCATGAGACTATATATAAATGAAGGAAGGAAGGGAGGGGAGGGGACGGAAGGAGGAAGGGAGGGAAGGAAGGAAGGAAGGAAGAAAAGAAAAGGAAAAAAGAATAACTACTGCCAAAGAAAAAAATATGTGGTCTATTCTGGAGAATGTTCCATGTGTGCTGGAAAAGAAAGCAGATTGGGCTGTTGCCGAGTGAAGTGTTGTGTGTATGTCTGTAAGGTCAAATTGGCTGCTTGTATTATTTAGTTCCTCATTGTCTTCATTGAGTTTTTTTCTAGTAGTTATATCCTTCATTGAAAGTACTATATTATAATCTCTTATTATTGTTTGAGCTTTCGTGGCGTAGTGCTAAGGTATTTTACTGCTAACCAGAAGGCTGGCGTTGCAAACCCACCAGCCACTCCTAGGAAGGAAGGTTGGGCAATCTACTTCCATAGTGATACCACCTCGGAAACCCAAGGAGGAAGGGTCACTATGAGTTGAAATCGACTCGGCGACAGTGAGTGTTATTATTATAGTGGCGCTCTGGTGGTGTAGTGCCTAAGGCATTTGACTGCTAACCAGAAGACTGGCGGTTCAAACTCACCAGCTACTCCTCGGAAGGAAGGTTGGGCAATCTACTTCCTACTGCCTCGGAAACCCAAGGAGGGGTTGCTGTGAGTCAAAATAGACTCAATGATGGTGAGTTTTATTACTATTGTGGAGCTCTAGTGGTGTAGTGCTAACCACTGCCCTTCTGCTAATCACCAGCCACTCCTTGGAGGAAAGATGGGGCAGTCTACTTCCATAGAGATGCTACTTCAGAAACCCAAGGAGGAGTTGCTATGAGTCAGGCACAACTCAATGGTAGTGAGATTATTATTGTACAGTTTTCTGTTTCTCTTTTCAGTCCTGTTAAGGTCTGATTTATGTATTTTGGGGCTCTTTCATTGGTTACATAGATATTCATTATGTTTATGTCCTCTTATTCAA